AGATCTCACACCCCCCTGCGCTGATTGGACCCGATGATCCGGGAGCTGTGGATTTTTGCAAAACAAATAACACGCTCCAGGTGGAGTTAGAAGCTCGGGTTTTTTTCTAAAACCACTTTATTTATGTTGTTCTGTCAGATTATAGTGTCGATTTCACTGAATATGATAAAAAAAAAAATTGCCGACGGCAGCTTTAATTTATGAAGCCTCTGCAAACTTTATCGTTACATATTACATTGTTATATTATAATGCCATCATATTCTGTGCTTTTATATGTAATGTCACTTCAGAAACTTTGCGGTTCTCTTAGCAGGATAAAAAACAATAGTTTTATTCAGTGGATTATACAGTTTTATTCAGTGGATTATATAGTTTTATTCAGAGGATTATATAGTTTTATTCAGAGGATTATATAGTTTTATAGTTTCAAAACTGTAGCCCCGAAAGCGAGACAAGACTTCACTGAGAGACTTGGAGAATATTTTTACTGCAGTTGGAGTGAAACATCGCTGTTAATCCCCAAATTTTACACCAAATCCGTGTGTGTTCCTGCAGTTTATGAACATGATCATCACACACACGAGTCTCTGTCAGTCACTGAATAACTGAGTTTGATTGTGAGTCTCACATGATATAAACATGTCGACCTTTATAAATGTTTATAAAATACATTTAAAATAATAGGGTGACATGCATATGCTGTTTTTGGTTAGTATACAGCTCCTGTTGGGTAATCTGGTCTTAAATAAAAAAAATAAAAAAAAAATAAAAAAAAAGTTGTAATTATAATTCCTAATTCCTCCATACATAGATATTAATATAAATTATTATCATCAGCTCTAATGTTGAGGGAAGTGTTATGATGCTGTTAATATATGCATTATGAGGGATTAATTTAATAAATCCATCGACATTGTTATAAATCATAAATGCAGAAAATCAAAAATGTGGGGAAGGATTGAAAAATATCCACTGAAGTGAAAATCAAAAGTGACTGAATTTCTACATAAAAGATGTAATAGGAAACAGGAGACAAATATGACTTCTGAAAAATCACAATCAAAAATGTTAAAAACTGATAAAGCTAAACAAAATGATGTTCAGTAAGATCATATTGAGTCGTGTGTGTGTGTGTGTGTGTGTGTGTGTGTGTGTGTGTGTGTGTGTGTGTGTGTGTTTGAGCAGCTGCAGTTTCAGTTCAGTCACTGTGACTCTGACTGACGGAGGTTTTTGTACGACTCTTTATCACTGTGTGAACACTGGATCACCACTGTCGGTCTCATGATAACTCTGACAGTAATAATGTCCAGCATCTTCAGTCTGGACTCCACTGATGGTCAGAGTGAAATCTGTTCCTTCATATTCTCCATTCCCACTGAATCGACTGAGACTGTCATCATAGAGATCATTTACCCCAGTAATGATGAGTTTAGGAGCTTCTCCGTGTTTCTGCTGATACCAAGCTAAACCCCAGCTATATATCCCAGCATCAGTTTTACACTCTATAGTGGCGTTTTGTCCTTCAGAAACAGTCACAACTTCAGGCTGAGTCACAGTGATTCCTCTGGATGCTGTCGACAACAACATTATATGAGTTTCATCAAATGAAATGAACATTAAAGACTCAGAAATGACGAGTTTTGACTTCTGTTACCTGGAATAAAAGCTGTCAGAATCCAGATGAAGCCGCTGAAGAGATTCATGGTGTGTGTTGGGTTTGTACCGTGGTAAACAGCCGTGTGTTATAAAGTGTGTGAGTCTGAAGGCTATAAACACTCGGAGAGCTGAAACACGTGCCGATGCAAAGTGACTCTCTGAGCAAAAACCAGCTGGAGGAAAACACACATGAACATGAACATGCAGACGAAACTGATCCAGTTTATGCCTTTAATGTGTTTTATTCTCATGATCAATGAGTGTGTTTTCACTTCTTTACAAGTTTAGAAATCATTTCTTCTTTATTCTGCATGAGTCTCTGGTTCAGAGTTCAGACTTTCTGATGAATCGAGTGACAGAGTTTCATCACTAAAAGAAACGAGTATTTCACTGTGAACTCCATGAGAGGTCAAAGGTCATTCCAGAGGTCACAGGTCATCAAAACTTATTCAAATGCTTTGAGAAACACACAATCATTTAGAAACTCTCAGTTAATGTGTAAATATCAGTACAGAGTATTTTTGATTATACTATTTATTTAGATTTAATAGTTTTCATGCATTAAGAGACATTTAGAGACGATGAGGCTGTTTCTGTGAAAGTCACTTCAGTTCAATAATCATGATGTTGAGTCTCATATCAGTGTGTGTGTGTGTGTGTGTTGTTAGTCTCTTTCTCTGCTGGTGTGTGTGTGTGTGTGTGTTCATTTGAGTGTGACGGAGGTTTTTGTACGACGCTTTCACTAGAATGAAACACTGTGGTGGACTTTCGGTGGAGGAACTAAACTGACGATCAGTAAGTCTCTTCTATTCTCTAAAAATGATTTATTTTTTATTTATTTGTTTTGTTTTTAGATTATTTTAGTAAGCATTTGGCGACAAGATTAAAAAAATTAAAAAAGAGTTTAAATAAAAAAAATTAACTGCAATATTTCATGGCGAATTTGATTGTTTCACAATTTCTTTAAATTTGTCTGTTATTTTACAAAAAACTCGTATATTCTGTGAGATTTCATCACGTTTATCTTTTTTTATATTTCAAAGCATATTTCATATTGTTTTCATATTGCACATGAGTAATTTCATATATTATAATTGCTAACATTCATTGTTTTTTAACATGTTGACTGGAATATTATTGTAATATTATATTGAATGTAGTTTGTAATGTTGTTATATTGTTATATTTTCTGTCATATTCAGTTTTTTTTAAAGTACATAATTGTGTCCATAATTCTTGGTAAATTTAACTGCTAATACTTTTTAAAATCCATGACAAAAAAGTTTGATTATACGGATAAAATAATTATATTTTTTAGGCGTCGCCATCAGACAAATAGAAAGATTAGAAAAATTCATCATTTGAACTGAAATTTGCTGATAATTATGATTGTGAGAGTCTTAAGAATTTTTCAAAATACAATTAATGATGAAATGATTATTCAGAAAATATCAAATTACTGTAAGATTCTCTGTATATCATGTCTGCTTTACAGAACTGATTTATATTTAGAATTACATGATACATTTTTGAGTATTAGTGAATATTGATTTAACTGAGAATATTTTTAAACTGAATTCAGGATATTTGTGGTTTATGAATGAAAACAGTTATGTGGAATTTCTGTAAAGATAAAATTATTGTGATTTCTACTACATGACCGAGTCTGACATCTAACTAACTGTGTGTGTGTGTGTGTGTGTGTTTCAGCCGGGCCCTCCGTGTCTCCCTCCGTGTCTCTGCTGGTCTCTGGAGACTCCTCCGCTCTGCTCTGCCTGCTCAGCTCTTACTCTCCACAGGGGGCGACGGTGAGCTGGACGCTGGACGGGTCAGAGGTCACCGAGGGGGTTCAGACCAGCGCAGAGAGCGAGCGGGGCGGTCTCTACAGTCGCAGCAGCGTCCTGAGCCTCAGCAAAGCACGCTGGGAAGGCAGAGAGCACTTGGTCTGCAGAGGAACACATGCCGGAGCTGCTCACGAGGCCTCGTTCCTCAAGAGCTCCGAGTGCTGATGTTTCTCCAGTGAAGACCAGCGTATCTGAGCGGCACGTGATTTACAGCTCAATACTGAAGCAGTCTGTCAATGTGCTGCCATTGCTGTTCATTCAATAAAGCTTCATCTGAACGCAAGCGCACATGTGTGTGTGACTGCATCATTGATCAGTGTGTCGTTCCTTCAAAGTCCTGCACTAAAGTTTCAGCTGCTTTTGATTGATTGTAATAGTTGAGAACAGCTGCATTCAGCAGTAAATGTCAAATGAAGCTCTTGGGGTTTGAACATGGTCACTGGAGACGAGCGGCTCTATTCTGAGACCATCACAATCACTAAACCTGACAATGCAAATGAGATTTTCACCTCAAACTCACAGTTTCTCTCTTTTACTGGTTCAACGCTCTGAACTGGAACAGTTTCACTTCTGCTCATGAGAAATGAGTAATGAATAATAAATTCATTAGTTTGAGATGAAGGAGCTACTTGAAAAAGGCTCAATAACATATTTATGTAGCTGGTGTTACACAATTACTTCACTATTTAATGTACAAAAACAAAACAAAATATTGCGCCACTGTTTGTTTGATTTATATGAGTTTACACACTCAGTTTTCTCTGATTCTGAGAATATTAGAGTCAAACTCGTCTGTCACAGATCAGATCACAGTCTAATATCTGATTTCAGTCATAAGTCATTTTGTGCAAGTCACCTTCATTCATATAGCGCTTTTAACAATATCGACTGTTTCAAAGTAGCTTTACAGTGATAATAGAAAATTAAATTGTTTTGGCTTTAAAGCAGCTCTAAAATAAAGTTATTGTCCAGCAAAAGCTAGTTTTAACTGATTCACTTCCGTCGGAATGATCATTAGTTATTACTGTAACTTAGGGGGCGCTTACACGACACCGTTCTAACAGTAAACCTTTATTGCGATCCGGCCGTTGCCTGGTGGCTCTGAGAATTTTTTATTAGCCACGTGAACCGGAATTATCCTGACAACGTTAAATCAGTACAGAGGTAAAGGGAAGGAGGCCGTCACAGGGGAGAGACTAGTGGACACTTCAGGACTGCGTTGTCGTCGTGTCCAGGCGCAGGTCCTTCATCAGATCCGGATCCGGTGGACTGCAGTGAACCTCGGGATAAACAGAGAGACTAATATTAGCGTAAAGACGCCATCCTTCTAATGATGTACAAAGTACATCAGGATTTATGGTAAGTGTTTCCAGGTTCCGGCTGATCATGCAGCCTAACATTGAATTATAGAAGTCTAATTGTAGTAGTGTGTAGTTCCTGTTTGTGTGCGTGTCATTCATTTACTGTAATAAATCCTTCGACTTATTAAACTGCTCAACATATATTAAGATGCTGATGGTGCAGTTTATAAAAAAATAATATATTAAATTATAAATGCAGAAAATCAAAAATGTTTTGAATGAATTGAAAAATATCCACTGAAGTGAAAATCAAAAGTGACTGAATTTCTACATAAAGGATGTAATAGGAAACAGGAGACAAATGTCATTCCAGAAAAATCACAATCAAAAAGGTCAAAAACTGATGAATCTCAACAAAGTGATGTTCAATAAGATCATATTGAGTCGTTTCTTCACTGTTGAGTGTGTGTGTGTGTGTGTGTGTGTGTGTGTGTGTGTGTTTGAGCAGCTGCAGTTTCAGTTCAGTCACTGTGACTCTGACTGACGGAGGTTTTTGTACGACTCTTTATCACTGTGTGAACCACCGAATGCTCGCAGGGTAGTATAAACTCTGACAGTAATAATGTCCAGCATCTTCAGTCTGGACTCCACTGATGGTCAGAGTGAAATCACTGTTAGATCCACTGCCACTGAATCTAGATGGAGTTCCTGACTGACGGCGGTTTGTTCTGTAAATCAGGAGTTTAGGAGCTTCTCCAGGTTTCTGTAAGTACCAGGCTAAGAAATCTCCATTGTACACATCTCTGCTGGTTTTACATTTGATATTCACAGTTCCTCCTGGTTGTTCTGCTGTTATTGAGGGACTCTGAGTGATGGTGATCTGTCCTCTACACTCTGAAACACACAACAAGAAGAAAATCCCCAGAATAAATGAATGATCTTTGCTAAAACAAGTAAATGTAAAGTAGTAAATGCAGTGAAAGTGAGAGTCACCGTTGAGGAGCAGCAGCAGAGAGCAGATGATCAGTGTGTGTGTCGTCATCTTTACTGGGAATGAGTGAAGCTGAAGGACAGAGATGTGGGATTCACAGTCGGACAGACGCTCTGATATTGAGCTTCAGTCACAGGGGAGGGACACACACATTCAAAGCGGTTTCCTCTCTAATGTGACACAGCCACTGACAGAAGAGCAGAACTGAGAAATATCACAATGTTAAGAAGTTAATTTTCCCTCATCAAACACTCAATAATAGTTTGTTTCTCTGGGATTCCCTCTCGGCAACAACAGCAAACTGGATGTTGGCAGTAAGTAAATCATTTTTTGTATGTGTGTTTCATACACAACTGTATGTGTGCTTTATCATTCAGTCATACATTTTATTCAATTCAATCAACATAGTTTGAAATAAAATAATAACTTCATGTCTTTGAGTCTATTTGTGTTGTTTTCATTTCACTGGATCAGGGCTTTTGCTCACATATAAATAAACTTCAACGAAGCATTAAAACACCTGCAAAATATGATGAACCACAGATATTATGATAGATAGATTGAAGATAAACATGCATGTCAGACACATATGATCTTGCATTGTGTGTAATGTGTAATAGTTATTTAAAGTGTTTCAGTATTATAGAAACGTCAAACTCTGAGGATGATGAACATCTGCTATATTTAGAGAGAAACACAATCACTCCCTATTTCACTGTTTGACTGAAATGATACCGTTTTTGACTAAAATGAGGCTTGTTCATATTCTTTAGTTTACACTGTCAATTATTGTGAAAAAATATGTTAAAAGTGTAGATTACTGTAAATTTGTATCTTGCTTTTAAAACTTAATGACAGTAAGTTAAATAAAACACAAAATACAGCCATAAATAAATACATGTGTAATAAGTCCATAAATAAATGCATTTATATTTTACATTTTTATATGCATAAATAACTCCATAATATGTATCCGCCTTATTGATCAATGCAGAAATACTATTTTCTGTGAAACCAGTGTTTATAATTAAGACAATACATTAAAATAATATGGTAAGAAATTTTTTTCTTCGTTCAATTTCATGATGCTGTTCATCACTGACACTAACAAATCAATGCATTTTCATAGAAAATATCAACGTATCGTGCAGCATATGCTGTAAAACCCACTGAGGAAAACCTGTCAGAGGCGAGAATGTGTTGCTTTGTGTTTTTATGTAGAACTCAATGAGAAATATCCAAATGCAGAATTATCACATTAAAGCAGCACTAAGTAGGAATTCCGTTTTTGTCAAACAGCGACCCCTAGAGTCGCTGTGGAGTACTTGTACTGTCGTGAATAGCACTCACGCAGAGATGGCTCGCACTCACGGCCGGATCCCCTCCCCCTGTACACCGGTACCTGTTCAGTAGGATGGACGCTGTAACGAGTGGAAATAAGGCGTGGCCCCTTTAAGAGCTGCGCGCGCCCTGTTTAACTGTCGGCAGTCTGTATTGTATGTGCGCCTCGAACACCACATGTATACGTGCCGGGTTATTTCTGTTTGATGTTCATTTTATCAGAATTTTATCAGATCTGTTTTGTTGCCGTAAAGCAATTCGTTACCTCGCGAGACCTGATATCACACGATACTTCCTAACACTGAGGCCGGCGGCCTGCCCGCCCAAAGTTGCAAGGGAGGTTTTGCGGCTCACAGGCACCAGGGGGGTGCGAGACGACCACCATTCAACACGAAATCAGTAATATAAACATTACAATGACTCCAAAGCTGTTCGGTTAAGGTAAAAAAGTTACTTAGTTCACCTTTAATGAACAACTAAATGCTGTGAAAATATGAGCTAATGTCTATTGCAGATATAGATATTCATACATGTGAATAAGGTTATGAAGGGAACGAGCCAGAGGTCAATGGTTATAATTATTTTTGATTATGATTCTCTTCTTTGAGCGATGGACTGCTGGATCATCAGGATGAGAGTCGAGGTCTAAGAGCAGTGCTGGCCTTCCCTGGTGTGTGTTCATAGAGGACTGGACTGTGTGTGTGTTCATAGAGGACTGTGTGTGTATAGGGGACTGTGTGTGTTCATAGAGGACTGTGTGTGTTCATAGAGGACTGGACTGTGTGTGTGTTCATAGAGGACTGTGTGTGTATAGGGGACTGTGTGTGTTCATAGAGGACTGTGTGTGTTCATAGAGGACTGGACTGTGTGTGTGTTCATAGAGGACTGTGTGTGTATAGGGGACTGTGTGTGTTCATAGAGGACTGTGTGTGTTCATAGAGGACTGGACTGTGTGTGTGTTCATAGAGGACTGTGTGTGTATAGGGGACTGTGTGTGTTCATAGAGGACTGTGTGTGTTCATAGAGGACTGTGTGTGTGTTCATAGAGGACTGTGTGTGTTCATAGAGGACTGTGTGTGTGTTCATAGAGGACTGTGTGTGTGTTCATAGAGCAGGGGTTCTCAAACATTTTGGAGCCAGGGACCCCTTACAGGGGAAAAACATTTCCAAGGACCCCCTCATATTTCTAACAGTGATTGAGCACAAAGTTAATGTGGGAGCGGCTAATAAAATATTTTTGCACAAATGGTCTCCACCCAGGGTCCTATGCAGGAATTTCTAAATAGCCTACTGAGGTCCCCCCCCCCCCCCCCCCCCCCCCCCCAGGGATTTTGGATGTTCTTGATCTACACATGTGCGTTTTAAGGCCCACAAACTGGATAATTATAGCTTTAAAGCATGTCAGTGGGCAGTGGCATACATTATTTTGTCAAGATGACAGTTTACATTTTACAATGAATGATCCATATACAAAATGGAACTGCAGAATGTATATGATTATTGTTCACATGTAGGCTTTATCAAAACTCAATCACATATTCCAAACAGGAATGGTCTTAAATGAGAAATGTTTCAAGGATTATTCTGCACAAAAAATATAGCCTAGCCTTTCTCTTGACCTAGCTATTTCCTTTCCCAAAGCTGAGCTTTGATGGATACTTTGCAAACTTATTGTTTCAGTCGTTCGTTTAAAACTTCTATCTAAAACAGCTGTTTAGTTTAGCTATTTAGGCCTACATCTTATCACGCACTTTATGACTGTTAACTGAAGCGTCGTGCGGGGATTCGCGCTCGGCTTGCAGCTTCTGTGAACATAAGCCCCGCTTACTTTGAATTAATCTCCGACTCAAACATTTTGACATTGACTGCTGTTGTTGTTAGTCTGCTGAAGCAGCTCAGACGAGAAGGTCAGTTATCATTGCGATGTACAATATCCTTGCAGCACCAAATTAAGTTAATATTAGGCAATTATTTCAAAACTTTCATTAGGCCTATATACACAACACACATAGAAAAATGACAGAGGTCCGGACATCGGGGACATCAATTGTGGGTACGGCCCTGTCCCTATGCACTTTTTAATATTACAGCACAATTTTTTAATTTTCCATTAAATAAGTTGCATCTGAATGTGTAATATGCCTACTTTGTTGCGTTGTTGAGGCGTTAGCCTTCCCCTCAGTCCACAGCAAACCGGTAGCTATTCAGAACAAAACGAGAATGAAAAATAAGTAGGCTACCCTATAAGATAATAATACAAATAATAATAGTATAAAGACAACATTTATTTTAAACATCAAGTCTAAACGAATTATTTTTAATGAAAACTGAAACTGCACAGACGTTGGGCGCGTGCATCTCTCATTCGGTTCAAAGTTTCCACATTGGCGATGTAGCCTAACATTTGGAGGCCTAACATTTGGATGCTTAACTATTTATGTAAAGAAAGTTGCATGCTTCAGTCCCAGTATAGGCCTACACATTTCAGCATCTTCATATGCGGAGAAATGAAATTGGAATAACAGCAAGTTCACAGTAGGCTATATGAATGATTGACTGCCTTCATAGTGTACAACAGATAAATTAAATTAAGATTGTATTTTATTTTGATAATGATCAGGCTTCTAATGTCAAATCTAGCAGTGCTAGAACTGACATATTGTCCATTGTGTATACATTAAAAATGACTACAAAATGTCATGCCTTTTACAAATAAAGATTAAACAACAGGATGCGGGTGCCGTCTCCTTTCTGGCGCACGTTCCCCAAAATCAACCAAAACACAGCGAATAAAATACTTGACGCACAGACATACGAAATACAGATATATTATCTATCTAGAAACCTAAGTGTCTACTTTGTATTATTTGACGTTAAATACGTCACTTTGGAATAAATAGCATGTTTTCAGATGATAAAGAAAACACGACTTATAGTCCGGAAAAAACGGTAGGCTGTTATAAATTATTTCGCGGACCCCCTGGCTATAGTTCACGGACCTTTGAGAACCACTGTGAGGACTGTGTGTGTGTGTTCATAGAGGACTGTGTGTGTATATCAGTGTAAGTTGATACTGTACTGAGTGATTGATAAGGAGCAGAAACTGTAGTTTATAAAGCTATTGATCAGTGTTTGATGTTTTTATACTTGTAATTTGTCAGTATTGTTGTTGTTTTTTACAGTATAACCACATCTTGATCCACATGCTGAGTCTCAAATAAAAGCAACTAATGGAACTTTGTGCTTTTTAATCGATGTCCCGCAGTGATTATATTCACTAGTTCTCATGAGACTTTATTAAAAGGTTGCAGATTCAGTCGACAGTTAACTTGCTTTTGACTGTATTTGACAGATCCAATATTACATAGATCTCAATCATATCACTGATCTATAAGAGCACAAAATCTCAAAGCTGTGCAGAGATCAGTCAGTCAGTCAGTCAGTCGGTTTCCACCATATTTTTATTCTCCCTAAAGAGATTATGAATATGAGGGAATAAAAAATACCACTGAGACTCTGGCAGAGACACTGATGGACTTTGTCTAATTGTTTCTCTCAACGTATGATTTCTGACCTCTATAATCTATTAAAGAGCTTCATTTATATGGTTTTATTTCAGATGCAAGTGTGACAATGTTATTTCAGATCCTCCTTTGAGCAGCTGCAGTTTCAGTTCAGTCACTGTGACTCTGACTGACGGAGGTTTTTGTACGACTCTTTATCACTGTGTGAACACTGGACCACTGTGATAACTCTGACAGTAATAATGTCCAGCATCTTCAGTCTGGACTCCACTGATGGTCAGAGTGAAATCACTGTTAGATCCACTGCCACTGAATCTAGATGGAGTTCCTGACTCGAGTTTTTTTACAAAACGAATCAGGAGTTTAGGAGCTTCTCCAGGTTTCTGTGAGTACCAGGCTAAATCTTCATCCCCATCACTCCATCTGTTCACATCTCTGCTGGTTTTACATTTGATATTCACAGTTCCTCCTGGTTGTTCTGCTGTTATTGAGGGACTCTGAGTGACGATGATCTGTCCTCTA